AATTTTAATCGTTGGGCTTATTGTTCTTTTCCCACCTGATGTAGGACCATATAGACTGTCTTTTCAACATTTATACTGAGTTTATTGTAGGAGAGCCAATCAAAATAGCGTACTAGATCTTCATTCACAATATTTTCAAGTTCCTTTCTATTTTCTCCAGATATGTGAAGACGGTATCATATAAAAGGTACTCTAAAGGTCCCAGTAGTGAGCCGATAGATGCATTTTCAGCGCTGTTTATTTCTTCAATAACTTGGGTGTACAATTTTCTGCCCACTGAGTATGTTTTCAGCAAGTTATCGTTATGGCCTGTCCCTTGAAATCTCATTTTTTAAAACTTATCTAGCAACAATGCAATATCCACAGTATCAAAGGCTTTTTGTAGATCGACAAGCACACTTACAACGTATCTGTTTTTATCCAGTTCACTTGAAATATATTTTAGAAGATCCACTATTGCTCCAAGTGTACCTCTACTACCTACTTCTTTTTTGAAAATCATACTGGTGACTATCGAAGTTGAAGTGCGTATTAATGAATGAAACAAGTCTGGTTTTTACTGTGGCATTTTGACAACTGATTATATTTTGAATTTTGTATTCATTCATCTCCACCATATTTTTATGTGTGGTAACTATCTGTGAATTTTTTAGGAGATCCAGGTTAATGTCACCAATAAATTTACAGGGATTTTTTATGTTTTCGAACAGTTTGTCCATTTCTTGTATAAATAATTTGCTTTTGTTTTTTGGAGGTCTATATACATCAAACAATAATAATACCTACTGTGAATAGACTGGAAGATATTTATCCATCCAACAATTTTAAATTATGTAATGAGTAATGAGGATATGCCACCAAGAAAAATTAATCAATCAAATCTCCAATTATTAATCATACTATACAAATGCCAATAAAATCGCATATTATTTATCGAAAATTAAAACCAGTAGATACCAATACAAAAATATAATTGGAACTTTTGATATCAGAGAAAGAAATTTTCTAGAAAATCTTATGCGTCTATTTTCATCATTAGTTTTTTTTTTTGACTTGGCTTGACTATAGGCGATTTCGCCCCAGACTTTGTTTGGTACATTTTGACTTTGACATGTTTATTTGGACATGAGAGAAAAAGAAACAGAAAGCTACCAAACCTCCAGAATGCTACCTCTTTGACAGACCAAACTGAGGCGAAATCGCCTTATGAATGATTTCTGTATGAGCGATGAATGATCCAGAAAAATTCTGGATGTAGGTGCTGTTGTAAGAGAATGATGTGTACTATTTAAAAAGAAATTCTGTATGCTGTTATAGAATTCAAATTCAATTCAATATGGAGTTGCATATTATTAAACAAAAATACTCTTCAGCTGAGAGATATGTAATGTAGCTATCCAGCTATATTTTTCAAAAACGCTCATGGAGGTGTTGGGTGCACTCTTGGAAAGTCAGTCATTAAAGGACTTATGAGAATTCGGTCAATAGTTTAAGTAGGCCTAATATTAGTCCAGAAGTTATTTATCTGGAAAAATCGGGACACTTTGAAACACAAGCTGAAATTTTGTATTGACATGTTCTTTATGTTTATATGTGCATTTTCTTTACATATTCATTAACAAACACATAACTTAATAGAGCTGACTTTCAGGTTTTCATGTTAACAATTAAATTAAGTACCTACAGGGTGGTCCACTATAAGTAAATTGAACTTCCGTTGATGTTGAGGTTTTATAAATACCTAACTTTGAAGTATTTAATATTTTTTTAAATGCTCTTTTCATTATGTTTTTAACACATTCTAATTGATTTGAGACTTGAGTCATCAAACTACAAATCCAAGAACAATTTTCCTGCCGTTGTGTTTTTTTTTTTTTAGGTGAACCCCCCTGTAAGCAAACAAAAAAAATTTGAGGGTAATCAATATCACTTCTGGTGAAAATTGCTAGACGGATTTTTGAGAGGTGAGTACATATTCATTTTGAAATTTTAGTATGATGAGCTCCTAACTTTCACATTTTTCCCCTGAAAGTTTCATAATTTTCTCTTCAGTAGTTTTCCAGAAAAAATCAAAGTGGAAGAGTGCATTTTTGCTTAATTTGGATTTTGCAAGTTGATTTCTATTAATTTCCCATTTTGTTATTTTTCACTGGAAAAGTTGAACATTTTAGTATGATGAGCTCTTTACCTTCCTCTTTTTCTCTTGGAAGTTACATTAGTTTTCCAGAAAAAAATTGAAATGCCAGAGGATGCATTTTTACTTAATTTAGATTTTGAAAGGTAATTTCCAATAATTTTCCATGTTGCTATTTTTTACTGGAAAAGCTTGAAATTTTAGCATAATGAGCTCCTAACTTTTCTGTTTTTCTCCCGAAAGTTTCATAATTTTCCCTTCAGTGGTTTTCCAGAAAAAAATTAAAATGCCAGAGGATGCATTTTTGTTTAATTTGGATTTTACAAGTTGATTTTCAATAATTTCCCATTTTGTTATTTTTTACTGGATAAGTTTGAAAGTTTAGTATGATGAGCTCCTAACTTTCTTCTGTTTTATCTAAAAGTTTCATAAATTTCTTTTAGTAGTTTTCCAGAAAAAAAATCAAATGTATAAGGGTGCATTTTTGCCTAATTTGGATTTTGCAAGATGATTTCCATGAATTTCTCATTTTGTTATTTTTCAATGGATGTTTGAAATTTTATTATGATGAGCTCCTAACCTTCCTCTTTTTCCCCTGAGAGTTTCATAATTCTCTCTTCAGTAGTTTTCCAAAAAAAAATTGAAATGCATAAGAAGGTGTATTTTTGCTTAATTTGAATTTTGCAAGTTGATTTTCATTAATTTCCCATTTAGTTATTTTTCACTGAAAAAGTTTGAAATTTTAGTATGATGACCTCCTATCCTTCCTCTTTTTCTCTTGGAAGTTCCATAATTTTTCCTCCAGTGGTTTTCCAGAAAAAAAAAATTAAAATGTGAAAGGGCCTAATTTGATTGATTTTCATCAATTTCCCATATTACATAATAATATAGGGAAGAGGTATCTCCTATATATGTATTACCAATATTGGATAGATTTCACATATGAGTATAAATAAAATCTATTGCCAAATATGTATTATCAATGTTGGTTACATATTGGATAAACATTATCTCATAATAAGGAGAAAGCTACATCTCCTATATGTTACCACTATTGGATAAATATTACATAAATAAAACTTATTTCCAAATATGATTTATCAATGTTGGATCAATATTGGATAAACATTATACTTCAATATAGGAAAACGGTACATCTCCCATATATTACCAAATATTGGCTAGAAATTGCCAATATTGTGCCGTTATGCAATATTTTACCAATACCGAATCAATATATTGTGCTACTGGGGGACTCTTAGGTGCCTATCTATGAGTTTGCTCCTTCTAGACCAGTTTTATTCAAAAAGCCATGAAAAAAGTTCAAGAAACATGACTCATAATAATTAAAGTTAATCCTGATTACGCAATAGTATTCCTAAAGCATCTGGCCAATAGAGGCGATGTAAATTTGGGTTTTGAAAATTCTGATTCTAAAACTGTCAAATACTTCAGCATCTCAACAGGAACAGTACCATCATATTGTTGCTCAACTTCAAATTTTACACTGTATTTGAGTATTTTATCCAGTAATGGATGCAATCTTTCTGTGAAATCTACATATAACGATGCTAGCTGCGATGCTGAAGTAATGGAAACTATGCAGTGACGGAAGAACCTAATTCAAAATACATGAATCTAATCAGAAAAATATGATGCCAATGACAGACAAATTATATTACAAATTAGGTTTGTTCCAAACTAGTATATTCTCCCATTACACGACTATTATTGCCATCTTAAAATTCAGTTGTTCTCTTTCTAGTTGACGAAGACAATTCCTTAACAGCCGAAGTAGCAGACGATGAAATTGTTGTGAATATTGGATTGGCCCTAGGTTCGGCAGGTCCAACGGGATGGTTTATCCCAGAGGATCGAAAAACACTCATTGTCTCAGCGAATGGGTAGGTACAACAAAAATCGGAAAATCATCCATAACTTATGTTGCGTTGCTGCTTAAAAGCTGTAATACTATGAGCACGGAATTGGTAAGTATTTTTTCTATACATATAGCAATAATTACGTACATAGGTAGGAACCTAAAGAAGGAGCTTTTTGAATATAGTAATGATACGGGATTCTGAATCGGCTCTTAGGCAAAAGATCAAAATGAGTAATTGTGAAAAAGTTGTTAGCTCAAACGTATTCTGTTTCAAGTTATAATAACTCTTTTGGCTGATAACCTTGTGTGTTGTACCTTATCATGTCATTTTTCTGCACCAGATTTTGTGGGCTTTGTTTTCTTACTACTTGTACAATACAGTAGGTAACAATAATTCTAGAAATATTTCCACTGCAAGGAACAATATTGCTTCTTCTTCATTCGATAATGTATACATTTTTTTAGGCAAGGAAATAATTTGTCTTTCTTTTTTAGTACTTGCACTAGCATTTAGCATTCAGTAAGCAAATTGGATACTGAAAATGCGAATAATTCGCGTTCGTTTGGGAGAGCCTTTACACTCAACCCTCCCCCTACCCCAGCCCTGTATCCCCCTATCTCGCACTCAAAAAAAAATACCTCAAATATCCCTCCACCGCAATTTTTCTGTGATATTCCCCCTAATTTCGACCTCAAGCAATCCCCCTTTCAAGTCAGATGAAAACTAACACAAATCAACCAGCTAAACCAAAACAAAACCAGCACAAATTTAATATTTTTGGCTCAAGAATTATGGGAAATCTGGGAGATGCAATAAAACAAATGTCTCACTTAATGGTGAGAAAATAATGTTGTTGCTGCCAGAGTATCAAAATATGGTCAAACACACTGTACAATTTTGTGAACATGAAGCTTCTAGGTAACTATTCCAATTAATACACTAACCAATCTCTTACCATTTCTGCAAGACTTAAAAATCCTTACCTGGAACCTCCTCCAACCCAAAGATATAATCAGCGGGTCGCTTGTTTTCAAAATCTTACTATACCATCTGTGCTTCTTGATCTTAACATTCACATATCCAATATTTTCCTCGCCCATATTCAATGAGCCTATGACTAAAGGATATGTGGGATCAAAATTTGTTATAAATTCAGAAGGAACATCTTCAAATTCGATTCTGACATACATTCCAGGTCTGAATCCTTCCACTTGGACTCGGACATCATCGGGCATGTTATCAAAAACGGTTTTATTCAATTGGGCCTGTTTTTCTGCAGTCATCTTTAGCTCGTCGTAATAACTACTTTTGTCTGTGTTATCGTATTCTGAATCGAATTTTTCCTTTAGTTTGCGCTTTTTCTCCGCCAAAGCTTCTTTGTCAGCTTTATCATCCTTTTCATCATCTTCGCGTTTTCGTTTTTGACCTGCTTCATGTTTAATCCCAGTTTCCAAATCTTCAAAATCACCATCAACATCACTCAAATTTTGAGTATCATCAAGTTTTAATAGTTCACTAGCATCTTCAGAATCCTTCCATTTGCCAGTGACAAAACAATTGGCTATTAGTACTTTATTTTCTTCTTCTGTCCAGTCTTTGGTGACTGTATTCCATGGGAACATTAAAGGTGATTCAGTTAAATTCATATTATCTTTTTCCAATTTTTTCTTCTGTTGATCTTTAGATACTTTTTTGAATATGCCACCAATATCTTCTTCGTCACTGCTTGCTTCATTTTGGGTTTCCTGTTGAGCTTTTTGATATTGCGCATCAAATACTCCATAAACAAGCTTCATCAAATTTTGTGAGGTGCTAATTCTTTCCAGGAAAGCATCTTTTGCTTTTTTAACTAAGTTTTGTTTCCATTCTACTGCCATATCTTCTTCATTGTCATTGTCTTCTACTTCCGAATCTGAATCCTCATCTTCTTCCATTTCTTCAGAATCACTTGAATCCAAGTCTTGCTCAATTGGAGCGCTTTTATTTTCCAAGTTTGTCAATACTTCTTTGATTTTTGATTGAATATCTTCGTCCTTTTTAGGCTTTGGCGCTGATTTGACTTCTGTATTGTCTTGCTCAACAACTGAATCTTCATTATCTGAGTCAGAAATTTCAGCCTCATCATTATTGTCAAAAATAACTTTTCTCCTAATTCTTCCTGAATCTTCAACAGCTTCCTCTTTATAATTCTTGGTTGAATCAATTTTATTTTGCTCAAGTTGACTAAAATCTTCATTATCAAAATCTGTTATTTTATTGTCACCAGTAAAAATTTGCAATTTCCAATTTTCCCTTTTAAAATCAGCAGTTTCCTTAGTCTCAATTAAATTAGTGAAAATATTTGAAGTTTCACTGTCTTCATTTTTTTTCATTTGGCTTTGACTGTTAGGCATTTCTACATAAACTGCATCTTTATCGTACACAATGCCTCCAACTCCAGAAAATGGAGCGTACACGAGTTTTTCCTTTTCAACTAGGGCTCGTTTTTTAATCGCATCTGGTAGAGGGCAAGGGTCTGGCAAATAAGAAATATCTTGGATTTTTAAATCTCCGAAACCAGCAATATGAACTGAATTTTCCTTTTTTAATGGAACACCTCTTATGTAACCATACAAAGAAATTTTTCTGTCACACTTTGGATTTTGCCTGATTAATTCTTGATTGGTTAAATCTTCATATCTATCTCCTAAAATGTAGCTGTGGTTTTGTCTCCACAACAAAGGCCTGAATTTCATGACAGATATAAATCTACCTAAATTTTTTATTTCATTTCTTAGATATTCTCCATGAATGATACCAGAAAGGTAGAATAGTTTAGCACCTGGATAAACTTCCGTCCAAAATCTATGTTTCAATGTTTTTTTGGTGGTTTTGAGTGTCTTACTGTTCTTGATCATATCTAAATGGGTCAAAACTCCCATAATTCTAGGCATTCCATGTACTTGGCATATATTTAAAAATTCAAACACTTCCATTTCAAAACCAAAGCTTGCATCGCACAGCAGCAAAGCTAAATCGCACACTTTGGCTAAATCTATCATTGAATTTATATCATTATTACATTCTACGATTGTTATTCTACGCTTTTTGCCTGTTACAATTGTAACTGGGCCTTTAATATCGCTTAATGGAGACTTTGTGAATAGTTTTATCAAATTGTTGATTACAGTGGTTTTGCCTACTTTTGGTGGACCGACTACAGCAATTAATATAGGAGGAGGCTCTATTGGCGATCTGTCCACTAAAGGGATATGTTGTTTTTTAGTGTCAATATCTTGTTTTCTTCTGAACTTTCTTTCAGCTCGGATTGCTGAATTAAAAGCGAATGCCTTGGGATTTCTTTGTTTGGCGGTTAATTCTTCGACAGGGTTTAGATTTGCTTTTTTGGTTTTCTTTTTGTCGGCCTTTCGACCTGAGAATAATAGGGTTTTATAAAGAAAATGTAGAGATTATATATTAGATGGAGTGAATTGAAAACTGATGAATTATATCTTACCCGAATGTCGATCTCTATGGGATTTTTTCTTCTCGAAAGCATCTTCTTCGCCCATTTTGATTTTGATAATTTAAATATCAACTAATGTTTAATAATTAGATAGTTTTTTAAAAATTGAACATGAAAACAAGTATAAACAAACCAAACGTGACATACCATTTGACAAGGTTATGTTTTCGTGCCATTTTCAATCTTCTTTTTTATTAAACACTTGCTGGCTACCACAACATATAGTCAGAGGTGCTTTCCAGTGAGTGACCCATTTGAGTTACTCCTGAGCAGCTCAGGAGTGCTCCACAATTGCTTTGCGTGTTCCAGTGCTTAGAGTGTCGTACACTTGAACCACTCATTTCTGTTTTCCCCTGCTCCCTCGTATACCAACCTTTATTTTGGTGTTCCATGTTCCTGAAGTTCGAAATAGTTGTATTACTTTCACCCCTAGGAGGAGCTCCGGAACAGCTCCGGGGCTTCACGCGCTTATTCCTTTCGGAAAGTGTTTGTTGCACCACGCATATGTTCCCTGCAAATCGGGGGCGACAAAGCACCGAAGTGAGTAGCTCGAGTGTTTCAAGCTCTTGAAAGGAATACAACTTATGGTGGGGGTTAAGACGAGAGCGTTCCAGTGCTGCTTATGTCGAACAGTTCAAGAGCGTCAAAATCCAGGAGAATGATACTCTAACAATTTAGGCACTGGAAAGCAGCTCAGAGTTGCTTTTCAGTGACTCAACTCAAATGGGTCTCAGCATCTCAGGAGTGCTGCACAATTGCTTTGCGCATTCCATTGCTTAGAGTGTCTTACACTTGAACTATCATTTCTGTTATCCCTGCCCCTTCGTGCACCTTTATTTTGGTGTTCCATGCTCCTGAAGTCCGAAATAGTGGGGGTTAAGACGAGAGCGTTCCAGAGCTGCTTTCCAGTGCCTAAATTGTTAGAGTATCATGCTCCTGGAGTGTAACGCTCTTGAACTGTTCGACATAAGCAGCACTGGAACGGTTTCGTCTTAACCCCCATCATTTCGGACTTCAGGAGCATGGAATACCGAAATAAAGGTTGGTGCACGAGAGGGCAGGGGATAACAGAAATGAGTAGTTCAAGTGTACGACACTCTAAGCACTGAAACGCACAAAGTAATTGTCGAGCACTCCTGAGCTGCTCAGGAGTAACTCAAATTGGTCATTAAAAAGCACCTCAGTGCTGCATATGTCGAACAGTTCAGGAGCGTCACACTCCAGGAGCATGATACTCTAAAAATTTAGGCACTGGAAAGCAGCTCCGGAGTGCTTCGGAGTAACTCGAAAGCGCTTAAAGGGTGGCACCCGAAAGCAGCTTAGAGCTACCCGCTCCGGTGTTAGTCCATCCCGATTTGGAAGGAACAGATACGCTGGCATTCGTGCATTTAAATGGTGAGTTCGGGTTTGAGCTTTTTAAGTGCAACAAACGCTTTTCGAAAGGAATAAGCGCGTAACGCCCCAGAGCTTCTCCTAGGTGTGAAAGGAATACAACTATTCCCGTGGAGTTCCGACAACGCAAGCTCTAACCAGTGAAAAAGTGCAGGGAGTCAAATGCACCTAAAGCTACATCCTCAATCAATCTGGTAGCCAAGTGGCACTTTGGCACGCGTGCTGGAAAATTTATATCCATCCTCAATGCTGTCAATTTTCAGTCTGTTGTGCGTGTAGTACGGTCACATACCGTGCATTCGGTATTTTGATCTGAGTTCTCTGAGCATAAATTTACCGTTCGTTTATTCAAAAAGTGTACTCGGTGCAGGCTCATTCACGTTCGTTTAATAAAATTTCGAGCCCTCTGATACAGCGTGTAACTGCCCTGTGCGCTCGCTGGTCACGTGATTACTCTTTGAGCAAAATACCGAACGCAAGGATAACCTAAAGTAATTTTTTAACGTACCGCGCATGACATAAGTCGGCACGCATCGAAAAAGCTGGCAGCTTGCAACCTTCACTTTGGAGTTGACGTGCATGCCAGCACGGAATTCAATTGAGGATGCCAACGTTGAACAACATTTCCCTAGCTTGCGTGCCGAAGTGCCACTTCGCTACTAAATTGATTGAGGATGAGCCTTAAGGCGCTTAAAAAGTGTTAGTTACTCGCAGACGCTCGGGGTCACAGAAAACTATATGAAAACAACGCGACTCTGTGCAGTGTTCGGTTTGCTCACTCCGTGTAGTCTTACTCCGTAACCAGTCCGATCGTTTGGATATGAATTTTTAGTTAGACTAACTCGGGTAACATTTAAAATTGACGAAAAAATTAACTGAAAGGCACAGCCTGAACCGTAAACAATCCATCGAGGTCTGCGGGTGACGTCACAGCTATCATCGTCTGCTAAAGTGGTGACGTTACTCCTGGACTTGCTGCCGACTTGAACGAGTTGTGACGGATTTTCGTATCAGTAGCTTGTCTCACGGCCTTGAAATTTCACTCCAAAGCACGTGTTGATGGGCTTTTGACTTTTGCCACAAAACTGCACCCAATTGATCAAAAAGCGATCCGAAACGGATTCATATCGGCTTGATACGGAGCGTTGCTCTCGGTGTGATTCACCCTGTTCAACTTGAGCAATAGAACCAATAATAGAACGCTCTCAAATCTCACGCGGAGCGTTCTTTCTTGGTTCGTCAAATTCAAATGGAATAAAGAGTGGGATCAAAACGTTACCCCGCTGCTCTTTTTCATACAGATATTGGTATTGCTTCTTTAATTTCTTCTTTGTTCTCCAAACAAATAACATCTAAATTTGGCTGTGATGCTCCCAGAGCACTTCCCGTCTAGGCGGTTCAATGGGCGGTTACGTCACTGATCTCTGCGGGGGTTCTCCGAGAGCGATTATAATCCAAACGAGGACTCACTATTTGAAATCAATAAACGAACGTACTTTTGAACGGTCTGATCAACACTCTTTGATAATCAATCAAATTTGACGGAGCAAGAGAGAGCGCTCTTTGCGAGATTTGAGAGCGTTCTATTGCTCAAGTGGAACACGTAAATCTCGCCGAGAGCAACGCTCAGTTTTAAGCCGATTATAGGTGGGTTCAGCTTGCTCACTCCGTGCACTCCGAGTGACTCCATTCGCACTCCAGGCGTTCGGGTATTGCTTTTTCGCGAATTAGGAGCTACTCGATTAGCGTTCGAGTATACGAAGTGGAGTGAATGGAGTGCACTCCAAAAGTTCGACCTCGGAAAGAGAATTTTTTAGAGTAAGCATGCGTAGAAGTGAAATGTGGAAACTGTCAAACTTGTTGTGTTGTGGGCCTCATTCGAATTTTCCTTCAAATTGATTTTTATTAAATAAATGCACAGTAAGCTCAGTAAAATTATCAACTTTCTATTACTATTTAACTACCCTATCTTCATCATTATCGTCAAAATAAATTTCCTTGACAAAGTTAAACAGAGGCGAAAGCATCATGTTATTTATTAATGTGGAGAAATTGCAGTTAAGCACACGAAAAACCAAAGACTAAAGTGAAAAAAAAATTGAAACTGGAACTGTTGTAGGTCGTTCGTGCATTAATTTTACACTCTATTATAACTCTTAGATCACGTAACAACAATCTGCTCTTACTCCACTCCAACTCCGTGCTGAATAGCCGAACCCAGCTTATGTGAATCCGTTTCGGATCGCTTTTCGATCAATTGGGTGCAGTTTTTAGATTTATTCTTAAAGTTTACTACTCATAACAGCGAAATCCGCCCTTTCTTGACGTCGATAATTTGACGTTTAGGCGTGAATCAAAGGTCAAATTGTCGTAGCAATATGAAAAAAGAGTGAATTTTCCGGTTATGAGTACTAGGCTCAAGGATTTAATCATCAAACCGTGTGTCCGGTATTTTGGTTCGAGTTTTCCGAACTTGAATCATGTTCGTTTATTTAAAAAAGGGGGCTCGGTGTAGGATCATTCGCGTTCGTTTTTAAAATTTCCGACGCTCTGATACAGCGTTTAACTGAGCCGCTTTCGGGTGCAGAGTGCGAAGCTCCTAGACTACTTCACACCTGTCATACTCCATGCGTTTTGTACTCGAACGCTTCAAACCGAACGGGATCAAACTGTAGCCGGAGTAATTCGGAACTCAAGAGCTCAAAGGGTGGCACCCGAAAGCAGCTCTACTCTGTCTGCGCTAGTCACCCTGGATTACGGCTCCGCTTCAGCACGCTCTGCTCTTTGAGCAAAATACTTAACGCACGCCTTTTCTTCAAAATAAAATTCCTAAAATTTGGCTTTGGAAATTGGAGCAGATCTACGTTTGATATCAATTTATTGTGAATAAATATACACCAATAATCATTGTTTTAATTATCGAAAGTAGGAAAATTAAATTGCTTGACATTTTTTGCTCCAAAAGTGCTGGGTCGTTCGGGTATAGAACACTCTACTCTAAAAACAAGTAACAAAAACCAACGCAAAAACGTTCTGACTTCAGGGTGCGTTCGAAATCACCTTAGGCGTCACATTGAGTGCACACCATCTATGATCTATTGATGGCTGGTGTGCACTCGGTGTGACGCTCAGGGTGATTTCGAACGCACTCCAACAGTTCATGGATTAGCAACATTGCACAGAACCCACCCAAACATCATAACCCTACTTTTTTTCTAACCCAACATAACCTCAGTTTCTACTTTCTTCTACACATTTTGCATTTACTTTTCTCCATAAGATTTGTGATTGTTTAGTCTCGTTTTTATCAGTAATTTTCTTGAATAATAAGGAAAAAAAATCATGGACGATAAGCGGTTCAAACATATAGCCAAAGACCCAAAATTCCGAAGGATACCGAAGGGCCAAAGCAAAGTGAAAATCGACAAAAGGTTCCAATCTATGTTTACAGATAAAAAGTTTCAAGTGAAATATACGACAGATAAAAGGGGCAGACCTGTTAAACACCATTCAAAAGAAGATTTGAAGCGGTATTATGAGTTGAGCTCAGAAGAAGAAACCTCAGAAGATGAGAGTGAAAATGAAGCAGAAGTGTCTCCAAAAAGTAGTGAAAGTGAAGAAGAGAAACCAACCCTAGATATTGAGAATACTGACGAAAAACTATCCAAAACAATCAAGGATAAATTACGAAACCTGACCGTTGATTATGCCAGAGGAGAAAGAACTTTGCAATCAGAAAGTTCATCTGACGATGAAGAAACTGATGAAGAAGTCTCAGAGTCTGAGCAAATAGATCATAGATGGGGCGAACTGGATGCTGACGCAGGACAAACCGAAGAAGCGACAAATCGATTGGCTGCTTGTAATTTGGATTGGGACAGAATTAGAGCTCTGGATCTTATGGTGCTTTTCAATTCGTTTCTTCCATCAGGTGGTATTATACAGTCTGTAGTGATTTATCCTTCAGAATTTGGAAAGAAGCGGCTGAAAGAAGAAGAAACCAAAGGCCCAATTGAGTTAGTTGAACCCGGAAAAAATCACCAATCTGACGATGAAACTGAAGAAGGGTCCAATTATCACATGGAAAAATTAAGACAGTACCAACTCAACCGTCTAAAATATTATTATGCAGTCATCACATTTGATAATGCCAATTCTGCTAATAAAATTTATACAGAATGTGATGGTATGGAATATGAATCTAGTGCAACGAAAATTGATTTGAGGTTCATACCAGATGATATGACATTTGATGACCCCCCAAAAGAAATGTGTGATAAATTGCCTGAAAAATATGAACCAAGATTTTTCACTACGACAGCATTGCAACAAGCTAAAGTGGAATTGACTTGGGACGAAACAAATCCAGATAGAGTAGAGTTTGCTGAAAAAATTAATAGTGGTAAAATGGATGATATTTCTGAGCACGATTTGCAAAATTATTTAGCTGGCAGTAGCGATGAAGAAGACTTGGATGATGAGCAAGATGGCTCTGATTCTGATGCTAATTCACAATCAGGTAATGCTATTGACAAATACAAAGCTTTGCTGCAAGATATTCAAGTAAAAGAGGAAGAAAAGAAAAATCAAGATATTGGGATGGAAATTTCCTGGGGAATAGATTTGAAAACAAAAACAGATAAATTGGCGAAAGATAAATTAAAAAATAATGCAGAAAAAACACCTTTCCAAGAGTATTTGGATAAGAGAAAAGAGAAACGCAAAGAAAAAAAGGAATTGAAAAAGAAACCAAAGGAAGATGAATCAGAGAACAGCGACATACCTTCAGATATTGACATGAATGATCCATATTTTGCTGAAGAGTTTAACAACCCTGAATTCAAAAAGAAACCCACAAACAAGAAAAACATAAAAAAGAACGACAATGATACAGAAGAAGATAAACAAAAACAAGCAGAGCTAGATTTGCTTTTAATGAACGGTGAAGAAACTAAAGAGAAAAAGCATTTCAATTTGAAGAAAATCCAAGACAATGAAAGTGAGAGTAAAAACAAAAAGAAGAAAAAGAACAAAAAACACAATAACCAAGAAGAAAAAGAAGAGGACAATTTCAAAGTTAATGTTGAAGACAAAAGATTCTCGGCCATTTTCACTAGTCATCATTATAACATTGATCCAACAGATCCACATTTCAAAAAGACAAAAGCAATGGAAACGTTGATACAGGAAAAAATAAAGAGGCGCAATGAAGGCAACAATGACGCTAAAGAAACCAAGAAAATGAAAACAGAAGGCAAAGGAAAGAAGAAAAATGTTGAATTAAATATGTTAGTTAAGAATGCTAAAAGGAATGCACAATCTTTTAAGTAAAAAAATCTTAATAAAGCTGGTTTTTGTTGTGGAACTTTTTAGCAATATTTATTCTTTATTTGTCATCCAAACAAAAAAAATTCTAGACGAGATAATAAACTCAACATTTTACTTAACAGAGCAGTTTTTATGCGGATCTCATTATTCCTCTAGTCAATCCAAGCATGGATCTTTCTATTAGTCTCTGTGTTACTCGATTTACTATTATGCGAGTATATAATTTGTATAGGTGATTGAGAAGACATTGGTAAACTAGAATATTGAAGTTTGGAATCCTCAAAAATTTGTGTTTTTGTCTCGGAAAAATTGAATTTCTCCATGCTTCTAAAGACAGTCAATAAAAACCCCAACATTATTGCTAATTTGTTTAATATTTTCTCCTCAAAGAAAAACAAGAAAATCTTATATCACAATAAATAAAAATATCATAAACTGACTAATAATAATAATAATAATTAAAAACACCATAATATAATATGTGTATGTACGACAAAAATGCAATCCAAATAAAATACATCAATAATATATTAAACAAAAAAGAAAAATATAGTTTTTCAACACTCCTTTCTTCTTTCGCACTTAAATCTAACCGACCTGTTTTTAACAACAAAAAATATTTGCAAATAAAATATTCAGTAATTTTTGGTGTTTCTTCTACAACTTAAAACAATAAGAGTAAAACCAAATATGGGTTTTCTTTGAAATAATAATAATTATAAAGGTGGACACCAATAAACTCCTTCATATTTACAAAATTAATTAACAATGGTTGCAAAGTAATATTCCACAATTCATATATTTTCTTCTATCTAGCCCAACCATCGATTCACCTTAAATTTATTAACAAGTCTTGACATTTTATACAAGGTAAAGTTTATCATAATGTTCATCCAGACATTATTTAATTAAAAGGAAAATAAATAGTTTTAAAATTAAGATTAAATAGTGTTCCTTCTGACATTGAGCTGTGCAGAGTACTTTTATACAATTCAGTGCACCTCTCAATAGTGAAAATATTGTTTACCAAAATCCATTATTTGTCAGTAATTGTGTCCCTCAGAACGCTGTTATTTCACTTGAGTTTTCAAATGTTGCAAAAACTCATGATAAGACAATGAATTTTCTAACCTATCCTCGATCAATTTTTCTAAAAATACCCCACGATTCGGACTATTATCCCGTATAATTTGCAAAGAAACATTATAAGGTTTTTCGTCGTTAAGATAATTGATAAATTGATGCAGTCTCTGATTGGCTAAATTATCTAAAACTGGTATTTCGAGCATGCCGTCATTGATACTTTGATAATCATCCACACCTAAAGCACCGTTTAAAAATTCCCTAGAAACATTCGGTCCTACCAAGATCATCATGTGGTCGCCACAATCCATAAGGAACGCCCCCTTATTTTCTAAACATCTAGAACTTAAATGTAGTCTTGGAGGCAATGGGACTGGTTCTTCTTCGCCGTTTAAAATTACTTCTTGAAGTTCCAAATTATGAATTGGATATAAATCAGGATATATTTGTTGCATTAAAAGTGGTAAGGGCAAAGTTTTCATATCAATCATTGCTTTTACTCTATCGTCAAGCCTGAAACAATAATTTTTGTTGGTGAATGATTGAATTTTAGTTCATCTTACTGGAGACGTTATGATACAGTCTCTTGAGGCAGCTGGATTGATATAAAAAAATTGAGAGAATTTTGTTTTACTCAACTCCAGCTATACAAAGACTAGTTTGTGTTGATAAAAAAGAAAATGTTGAAAGATCCAACTAGATTATTGTCAAGGGGCAAACCACCTAGGAATTTTTTCCTAAATCTGTGGGGAATTGGAGGAATGTATAAGAAATCAGTGGAATTTATTGTTTTTAACACCGAGCATGCTTAAAAAAGAAAACCACATTTCTTATCACAAACAATTTTGGAATTTGGAGGAATTTTTTGGGACTTTGGAGAAATTAGCAAAGGTGGTTTACTCCTTGCTTATTCTGTTTATTGTTAAGGTAAAATACTAAATCCTCACCTGGTAGCAGTCCCTATTCTAAATGCAGGATGTTTTAAAATAGCCGCTATAAACAGAGGTAAAAGTTTAAGGCATTCCGGAGCTAATAATCCATTTGTACTATTTCCCATGTTGAGAGAGAATTTGTAGGCAGTCAATTGGTCTACAGCTGCGTTAATAAATGCTTCGCGTGCGTCAGACAGAGACGATTGCATCGACCTGTCCACGGCCATTTTTCCCAACAAACCAACAATACATTGTTGATCGGCTGAATTGATGACATCTTGTAAGGTATTGGCTAATGGCAGGCAAAGCGTGTGAACTCTTATTCGTCTTTCACCTTTTTAAGAAAATCGGTTTAAAAAAAAATCTAGCTAGAAATTGAAATTACCTTTGCTTGAAGTATACAATAAGGCAGCTTGAAAAGATATCTGTTGGGTGTCTGTTAATGTTTCCTCGATTGCTACCTGCATACCAAAGGCAGAGTCAGGGTTGATGTTTGGCAAGGAAAGTAAATCGGTTGATCGGACGAAGAAGTTTCCTGCGATTAGCCACATTAAATTCAAATTGTTGCAAAGGCTGCAATAAACTTACCGTGGAAAGTGTGTATAGCTAATCCTCTGGTACACCTTACCCTCATGACTGCCTCGAAACCAATTTTTCTTGTCAAATACCGCCTGAGGTCTTTTTGGAAACTGTCAACGGCCAAAGGCCTTGTGGATTTGAATAGTGGAAAGTGATGAATTGAACCTCCACTAAACCTATCATTATAGAAAATAATTTAAATTTATTAATCAGAATTTGCAACAAGAGATCTCGGAGTGGGTATTGATTGATTTTAGATTTAGGTTCTCTTGTAATAAAGCAGACTACTGAAAAAAGCAGAAATAAATTGTCAAATACCTGCTGATTCCAGAGATAGTAGCCATATCGACGTATTGCGAATTAACAACAAACAAATCGACAGCAATTTGCTGTCCGGAACATTCCAAGGCGAGCCTCTTGTAGAAATCGTTTACTGGGTTTAGGAGTGGAGTTTCCGCGGTTGATCTTTGCGACGGGTCTTCTCTGGCGGTTACTGCGCCAGGTCCCGTGTTAGGGAGGCTTGATTGAAACACAGAGACTCTACCACCTGGAGGAACATTAGATAATTGGTCCAATTTTTGATTTTGTTGGTTGTTTCTATGTTGTAATAAAAAATGTTCAATACCAAACTGCCTCAAATTGCATAAGTCAGAATATGGCTCATTAAAAAGTTTGATATTGAATATATCCGAGAATTTATTTAACTTGTTAATCATTTTTGGAAGATAAAAAGAGGATGTATCCAAAAATTTTCCATAACTCCTAAACTACAATGACAGTCTGAAACCTTTAAATCCATTCTGAATGAATCAATGAAATCTACCCTTTTTGATATAGGTAAAGAAAACCCAATTAATCGTTTGAGTCTAGACTGTTGCCCGCTTAATATTAATTAGTAATACATAAAAAATTTAATAGAAAATATGATAAAAATCTAAATGATTTAAAACAATATGAGGATGAGAATCTTTATTTTATAGGACTAATTGATATTTAATTTGAAATTCCGGTTTTTTTATCAATAAACAATCTTTAATGGATTTTATTTATCTTAAGCCAGCGATTTTGAAAAATCTGATAGAATACGATAATAATTTAATTAGTGTAGATTTGCATTTATAATCAGAAAAGCTAAATCATCCTGATCAAGCATATTTATACAATTGAAATAAATTTATCATTTCTAGTCTATCATAGTTATTGTAACCTTATCAATCTAAATTTTATGTTCTCAATTATTGTCGTCACTTAAATTATACATAGCATACCATCAATGGCTCATTATGGTTTATTTTTATGATAAAATATAATTATTATTTGCCTTGCATTCCTTTTTAAATTTTAATTTCTGTAATGAAAAATAATTAAACATTTTCCTGTGATATAGTTCCTTTTCTTATATAGTTATTAATTGTTTGTTTTTAGTTCTACTAGAATAATTAATAGTACCGATTAGGCATGAAAAAAAAATGAGTCAATTCAAAACACGCCTTCAGCTACGTTGAAATAATGTAATAGCTTGATGTAATAGTAAAAATTACACTGACGTAGATTAAAAAGTGGTCAATTCTTACCAGTAGCTCCCATCATTTTATGCGCCACCTGTAGAGCAGCCCCCAAAGCACTATTGCCATCGAAAGTATTACTGAACCTTTGAGGCAGCAGTTTTAATAAATCCTCAACCATTTCCATTCTATCCTTGAGATTGACTAGCAAGTTATCCGGGGTGGGCAAAAAGACATCGTCGATGTCCAAAATTGTCATCTCGTGGGGCTGATTTAGGCCTTCGGCTAGCGAGAAAAAGTGCAGGGCGGAATCGTAGGCTAGGAAACCTATTTGGGTTCTGGCATCACCTAGTGAAAAAAATATATAAATTATTATCAGTGTATTTATATGTTTATGACAAAAGGATTTACTAAGGAATAAGGACTACTGATAAACATTTTCAGTTTCTGTCATTAAAAAAGCTTTTGAGATTATGGTATACTGAATTTTCTTGTCCTAATATTCTGGGTGGAATTTTGTTGTAGGTTTTTATACATCTATAGATGGGAGAGTTGTGGCCCTTCTTAGTTCTAGCATAAGTATTTCTAATTTGTTCTAAGATTGTAGTTGTGATAGTCTCTATTCAGTGTGGTCTGCACATTTGTTTTAATTAGGTGTTTTTGTATTTTGTACATAAGTTTTGCCTGCTCAAACATCTTCAACTGATCAATTTTTAGGTAGGGATACTGCCTGTATAGTATTTCACTGGGTGTATAACGGTGCCTAGAGAATACTGTTTTTATTGTTCCTATCCAACAAACTATCCCTCAATGACTCCAAATCGCAGTCGATGAATTTCACGCTGAGAAACACACAAACTGACCACCCACTTTTAGCAGACTGTGTTGAGGAGGTTAAATTTCTTGGGGTTTATCTGGATCCGGGCCTGACTTGGGAAAATCATATAGTCCATTTATCTAGGAAGTTGTCTAAATATCTGTTCTTGTTTCGTAATCCGGTGAAGGTCACCTCCAGGCAAACTGTTCTGATGGCGTATCATGGATATTTTCACTCAAACTTGTCTTATGCCATTTTATCATGGGGTCATTCATGTCATATAGATAAGGCTTTTGGACATCAGCGTAAATGTGTCCGTATCATATGTGGCTTGGGCTACAGAGAGGATTGTCGCCAGTATCTTGTGACTTTGAATATTCTCACTTTGCCATGTATCTATGTGTTAGAGTGTCTGTTGTATGTAAAGCAAAATGTCCATCTTTATAAATTGCACCTAGATCAACATAATTATCCTACCAGAAATAATGACAAACTTGTTCTGGACTTTGGCCGACTTGGGAGAACTAGAAATGGCACCAAATTCTCAGCATCAGCCAGTTCAAGGTGAGAGTAAAGATTTTTTTGATAAAAAATGCTTTCTACTCATATGAGGAGTATTTTGCTTCTGACTTTAATATGTAACCATATGTTTTCTATTTTATTATGTAACCATTTTTGTTATATTTATTGTGTGACCATGACCATGTCTTCTATTTTATTATTTAAATGTTTAGATTTTTTAAGTTGTCATTTTAACATGTGTGTAAAGATGGATTATGTAATATCAATTGTTAGCTATTAGTGAAAATATAATAATAATAACTATAATTGTGAACGTATAAATATACTATATATAATACTTGGGTAATATTGAGAAATTTTCCGACATTCATCCTCAGATTTACCTAACTGTACTTTTGTCTTGACTTGTAAAAATGTGTTTTATACATATGTTATTAGAGAGATTTTGAGCCACCTATTTGATCAACGTTATACGTTATCGGTTATTTTGCTCATGCGCAATAGTGAAAAAATAACCGGTCCGCTTAATAAGCAGTAACGTACTACGCTAATTATGTGGAAATAAATGGAACGTTATTAGCCGATAACGTTTTAACATCTTTTCAGCATTTCGACGTCCTACTATATTTTCATGTTATCCATGAAGTGTAGTACACAATTATACAAAAAAAACACAAACAAATACCTAACAATCCTAACATAAACATCAGACAACATAAAATTTGAGGTAAGTTATACAGAATCAAAATCCTAACCACAAATTTCCATTAACCTTTAGCGTATAACGTTCTTCACAAGTTTTGGCTTCAAAAACTAAAAAAGGATAAATGTCATCCGCTATTTTTCAAAGACTACGCTTGCTCAGTTTACCGTTTAGCGTGTAACGTATTTCAAAATTTATGTGGCTCAAAATCTCTCTATTACCAATAAATCTTATCTTATCTTCATATTGGGGCTTCTCCCAGACCAATGTAATCTGTAATGTGGTTGTACCCGCAGCTGCGGTGTATGGTCGAGCATTATCCTGCATCAATATAAAATTCTGCCCACTAAATCTGCATTGGGTAAGAGATACTGTCGTAAAATGCCGATGTAGATTTGGGCTGTCACCGACTTCCTTACCAGAAAAACATGAAGCGGTGTCGTTCCATTTATTGAAATACCTCCCCACACCATAACCGACCCGCCATTAAAATTTTCACTTCCTGTCATCAAATTTTGACTAAACCTTTAACCAGTCCTCTTCCAGATTCTTTTTCTTTCATCCACCATGTTCAGGCAAAACCTTGACTCATCCGTAAACAAGACATTCGACAATTCAGGAATATTCCATTCGCTATAATTTTCAACGAAATTTCTTCTAGCAGCACGATGTTCCGGCGATAATTTAGGACCTTTTCCATGAAGCAACTGCTCGAAGAGCGATCCGCAAGTACGACCCAACAGGAAGTACTGCTGGTTCTGGTCGCCCTCCTAAATTATCGCCCGAACATCGTGCTGCTAGAAGAAATTTCCTTGAAAACTATAGAGAATGTAATACCTATTCCTGAATTGTCGAATGTCTTGTTTACCGATGAGTCGAGGTTTTGCCTGAACATGGTGGATGGAAGAAAAAGAATCTGAAAGAGGACTGGTGAACGGTTTGGTCAAAATTTGATGACAGGAAGCGAAAATTTTAATAGTGGGTCGGTTATGGTGTGGGGAGGTATTTCAATGAATGGAACGACACCCCTTCAGGTTTTTCTGGTAAGGCAGTCGGTGACAGCCCAAATCTACATCGACATTATACGACAGTATGTCTTACCCCATGCAGAGTTAGTGGGCAGAATTTTATATTGATGCAGGATAATGCCCAGCCACACACCGCAGCATTAGTGCGAAACTTCTTAGAAGCTGCGGGTACCACCGCATTACAGTGGCCTGCGAGAAGGAACATTTGTGGGATGAATTGGGAAGAAGGGTACGTTCTCGCGAGAGGTATGCGGAAAGTCACGCAGAAATGGCAGATGCATTAGTAGAAGAATGGGATCGTATACCAATGGAAACGATACGAAACCTGATTTCCAGTATGCCGCGTAGATTAGAAGCACTTAGAGTTGCTAGGGGAGGCAATACACGGTATTAAGCAGTTTTCCCAATTTAAAATTTTGTGTTTAATAAAAATGTTTGAAAAAATATGTATCAGTTTATTTCAGTAGAGAACTTTTCGATAAATTCATAAAGTTGGTAATATGCAAGATTTCAGCAGAAAAGCTGTAATTCAGGTATTTTTAGAGATAAATCAATGAATAAAAAAAGAAAATTCTCGTAAAAGAAGGATCTTTCTTATAGGGTGTAAGCAATTTTTATATCATTGCTTGATTAACATACAGGGTGAGCCAAAAATTGAGAAAATATCATGGTTTCAGTCTTTCCACTACCATCCAGGAAGCTTTGAGAAAATTTCCATCTGTCTAGTTTTTTTTCAAAGACAATTGAATTAACTACCTACCAACAAATTTAACAAAATTAAAAATCGGCACACTATTTTTTTATTTTTTTTTAATGATAGGTCAAAATCAAGTGCGTCACTTTTTTTGGAACTGAGTGTATTATAGATTGAATATTTTGAGTTTTCATTTAACATATGTCTACACCTCCTCACAGCTTCCAAGAATGGAGCAATTTTTTCAATGTGTGCTCCCCATGTCAATTTGTCTGTTATTATAAGACAATATTTATATTGCTCCACTTTTTTGAGAATTTTGCCATTAATTTTATTTGTTGGGCTTATTGTTGTTCTTTTTCCCACCTGATGTAGGAGGACCATATAGACTGTCTTTTCAATATTTAAGTATACTGAATTTATTGTAGGAGAGCCAATTAAAATAGTGTACTAGATCTTCATTTACAATATTTTCAAGTTTTTTTCCATTTTCTCCAGAATATATGAAAATAGTATCATCACAAAACTTCACATATTTAATCCTCAATCCAGCATACGTCAGACTTTGGATATATAGAAGCTACTCTAAAGGTCCTACTACTGAGCCTTGGGCAATACCGACAGATACATTTTATTGCACTGTTTTCTGTCCACTAAGTATGTTGTCAGCAAGTTATGGCATGTCCCTTGAAAGCCCAGTTTTTTAAATTTTTCTAGCAACAATGCAATATCCACAGTATCGAAGGCTTTTTGTAGATTGACAAACACACTTACAAAGTATCTGTTTTTATCCAGTTCACTTGAAATATATTCTAGAAGATCCACTGTTGCCCCAAGTGAAAACCATACTGGTGACTATCGAAGTTGAAATGTGTATTGATGAATGAGACAAGCCTGGTTTTTATATTCTTTTTGTCAGAGCGATTAATTCATCAAAAATACCCAAAAACTGGTTCCATTGTCCATTTACATCCTTCGTTTCTTGCTCTCAAACTGTTTCCCAGTTTTGAGCTATTAGATTGTTTTTACAGGTTGTTTTCTCCCTTTCACAAAATTTTCTTCAAAATTTTACTTGTAGTTTTGTGTCAGTATTGAATAAAAAGCATAACTTCTGTGCAGAGTGATCTGAGATATGCATGTTGAGTACATGACTCTGCTATTGGTCTATGCAACTGTTGGTTATTCTTGTATATCTACTAATTGACTGTCTGCTTTAGCTTGAAAGACTGCAGTATTATTTAAAAATATGTCTCTAGTTCTATTTGGATCAACCATCTCTATATTAAAATCCCCTGCCAATTTTTGAGCCAGATACAAAAAAATGATCCCCACCAATACTGTAAAAACTGTATAACTTTTTTATTAATCAAAATAATTGATTTCTCCAATAACTGACTTTTCTAATTAGAATCCAGTGTCGTTCTCAGTTTTTTTTCTATTTGGTCCTGAATTCAAGATATTGAGCAAAATCCTATTTTTTAAATATATGTATTAATAACTCATTAGAGCTTTTGCTGATTTTAATGATATAAACTTCGATAGGATGTGGTTTACACCAATCAAGATTTCATGAAATTTGAGCCTTAGAATGGGGTGGTAATTTTTTTGTATCTCGCTCAGAAATTGATGCTTCCTATAAAGTGTTCAAATTGGACCACCCTGTACTTCTGACGATAACACATATTTGACTCATTCGCTCTTCCAACTCTTATTATTATTACTTATTAGGTACTTATTATTTAATTTTGTGACTAAAAAATCCTACCAGATATTCTATTAATAGGACTGAAAAGTAAGTACCAAGTACGTACGATAGTAAGGACTATGCACTGTGCAGTAAAGATTAACTTCGTGTCTGATAACTTTGAGTGTGTAAATAAAAACATCCAAGACATTCATGGCTTTTTATATAGTAGTTGAGGATATTGAAAGCAAAACACACATCAAAGTTATCCTTTCTGTGAACAAGAGTAGTTAAATTCTGTCTAACCAAAGTTGAACGTTGAAGGTTACTTACTCGAACATATCATAGACGTTGCTTTTTGCTGCTGTCTTTATTGCACGCGCATTGTGTTTATCAAACCAAAATAGGTCCGAACGTGTGAATCCTATGGTTACAAGGATGAATAAGTGACCTTCAACGTTCAACTTTGGTTAGACAGAGTTTAGGTTTAAGTAAGTCATAGTCTGGTCAATGCTGAGAATCACACCACTCAGAGACAGTTTGTACCTAGCAAACTTGATAAATTTGTGTTGAACACTCTCAAGCCTATAGATGTAGATCTGATAGTAAGGTGACCAAACTATGCATGAAAATTCAAGAACGGATCTAACCACTGATGTTTAAAGAATTTTGATTGGGCAAATACTTGTAAAGTTACTAGTACTTCTACTAATAAAACCCAACATTCTATTACCCTTGTCAATTACCACTTCAAAATGCTCAGTGAACATTAACCTAGTATCTAGATAGACACCAAGATCTTTAATGACAGAAACATCAGAAAAGCTAACATCACCTAAGCAATACTGAAAGGGAACCTTACAACTGAATCTTATACAACAACACTTATCAATGTGTGGAACATGTCATTAAGCTGACACCAATCATAAACAATGTTAAGATTGTTGCAGACTAAGTATGTCTTGAGCTGATGTCACTTGACAATACAAGTGAAGAGTAAAAAATTTGAGAAAAGCAACAATCCTAAATCATTGATAAATAAGATGAATAGAAGGGGGCCCAAGTGAGAGCCTTGTGGTACCCCAGAGGATGCATGGAAAAGAGAAGAAAGATAACCATCAATCTTAACTTGTTGCATTCTGAAAGTAAGGTAAGCTTTCATCCATGAAAGTAATTGTCCAGAAATACCATAACTTGAGAGCTTTGAAAGAATGGTTTACCTTATCAAAGGCTCTACTGAAGTCAGTATATATGCAAGTACATACCTATAATATATTTTAATTGAGTTAATGATTTGAACAATAAAGCAATTTCAGATTCTGACAAAATTAAGCGACTTTCACTTACCAGGTAAGTTTTTTAATTCTTCCAATAAAACATTGCACAAGACTTCCAAGTAACCACTCTCGAAAGCAAGCCTGTAACAAAACAAACACTTTTACAACAAATTTAATTAGTACAGAAGAAATTTTACCTTGACACATCCAGCAAAAACAAATAAACCGCAGGCTGTGGCGGTCTCAACATATACTCGGCAGGAGCAATATATTCAATAGTACTACTTTTGATCTCGGGTCTTCGAGACGGATCTCCATAAGTCTTGGTGACAGGATCGTATTGGAATTCTTCAGGCAACTCGTTGACTCTAAAGCAAAGATTGCACTTCCACCTTTTTGTGTCCACGAAATACACAAACGGATTTATGTAAGTCCTGCAAGATCTACACCGCACTATTACGTTGCATTGAATCACTGGCAAGTAACTTAAATCCTTGAAAGGGTGAATTAGTAGTCCTAAAGGTAAACGGCTTTTTTGCAAAAGCCCAGCAGTCTCTGGTATTTTTGTGACGGTGCACCTGAACACTTCGGCACTGCAATTAGCTTGATTCAACTGTTCTTGTCCCAAATTGATTTGTGGAGCGGGTATTTTTGTTGGGGGCAATATATTAGGTAGTTGAAGTAAATCGTGATGCTCTGAACCCCATAATCTGTTGAATCCGGTTTGAACTACTCCAGGTTGTTGAGCAGTGTATTGTTGATTGGGGTAGGATAAATTTTGCATATTGTTTGCAGGTGGTTGTTGTTGTTGTTGGGGCATATTTGTAGGATATCTGTTGGAAGCCAATGCTGCTCTTGGAGGCAAAGTTGATGGTCCATTTAAACTAGGAGGTGGTGCAGCAACAGGACCTGCATTATAATTTATTTGTGGATTGAGTCTTTGAGTAGGGGGTTGTAAAACTTGTCCTTGTCCTAGTTGATTGTAAGGAGAAGTTCTAGCAGGTAGTCCTGTGTTGAATTGGGGTGGTTGTTGAACTCCTCTAAATTGAGGTTGACTAGGTGGTTGAGTTGTAGGTTTAACTTGCTGCGGGTATTGAGCAAAGTTTTGTTGCTGAGGATTCATAGTTGGTGGTCTAATTTGTGATGGAAATGCTGCTGCTACTGCTGAAGGTCCAAAATTACTAACAGACTGGCCACTTTGAGAACTGCTAAACATCTGGTTTTGTGGTGACATATTCTTATTTTGTAATACCTGGCCACTTTGAGAACTGCTAAACATCTGGTTTTGTGGTGGCATATTCTGATTTTGTAATACCTGAGGAACATTATTTGGTTGTGAAAAATAGTTCTGTCCTATAACGTTTGATGTTGAAGGCAGATTTACTTGAGGTCGATTTGGAAGAACATTTTGCTGGGTTGGTGGTATCCCACCACTAAGATGAGTTCTTTGATTTGAACTAGTAAAGATGTTACTATTTAAAGCATTTTGTGGTGCTGGCAAATTTCTATTTGCAATATCTGAACTCCCATTATCGTTTAATGGCACACTTTCCATATTGCTTGGCACTACAGGGGATGGGTTTTCACTAAACACTGGTCTATGATTTTGAATTCCTTCTGGATTGGGTGTGGACGTTTTCAACTTATTCGGGCTAATATTAGGAGTGTTCTGACCTGAAACACTTAACTGACCAATTTTTTGTGTAACTGCATCTATTGGGCCCCTCGAAGGTGGTAATTGGGACATTGGAATATTGCCTCTAATTGGTGGTAGCTGAGAGGCTGGCGAAGCTCCTCTGGAAGAATGGTTCGAATGGATACCATTGAATTGATATTGTGGTTTTGTTGCTTGTTGCTGTTGCATAGCCACTCCATTTGGTTCCGCCATGATTTCTATAAGGTCTTGTTAGAGCTGGAAATAAGAAAACCTCGCAAATTATTTAAATGACGCACAATGGGCTTTCAAAAACAAAGATATTTAACAAGGAAGATACTCAACCTTTGGCCCTGGCAAGGATTTTGCATTGTAACTTTTTTATTTTACAAATAGGGGAAGGCAAAATTTAATGGGTAAGAGAAAATACGTACCAGAATTTAACTAAAACTAGATAACAAAATATTTTAAAACGTATAACATTTTTAATTAACACTTTTCCTTATAGAAATTTTCTAAAAGGGAATAAAAATTAATTGAAACGTCACTGTCTTTAAGTCAGTGTCAAAACTTACGTGGCCTGTGCGAAGGTTGCGCCATCTAAATTTTTATTTCTATACTAAGTAAAGTTCTAGTAGACGCTCGGAGCTGCTGGATTGTTTTTTTTTTCCTTGTTCTTCTCATCAAAGGGAAAAGAAATAAAACATGCTCCGAGCACTCAGTGGTTAACGAGGACTAACTTCACGGTAATGAAATGTCAATTCAAAAATTGTAACGTAACACAAATGTCAAAGCTTTGACTTTATTATTGTATTTTATTTATAAAAGTACACAATTTGCAAAGTTTTTCAAATAATTAAAATTAAATAGCAAGTTACGGAAACAAGCATTTATGTAAATTACACGTAAACACTTATTAAAAATATTAAAATCACATATCTAGTAAAACAAAATGTACAATAAAAACAACCCAAAGAATTTAAACAGGTAGGAGGTATGTTTGAATCATGCACCATGAAATTTTAAACTTATTGGCCAATCGTCTGTTTCAGAAACAGGAAATTTTAAGATTTTAATCGTTGGAATTGCTAATATTTATTGAAGAAATTATTATGGACGATTACAAGTTCCTCTTCAAAGTAGTCCTCGTAGGCAATGCAGGAGTTGGCAAAACTTGCTTGGTTCGCAGGTTTACCCAAGGATTATTTCCTCCGGGTCAAGGAGCGACAATAGGAGTCGATTTTATGATTAAAACTGTCGATGTTGGCAATGAAAAAGTTAAAGTAAGCTCACTTAATAACTATTATCCATTCACAGGTACAGGTAAAATTTATCACCTTTCAATGCTATTTGATAGGGAAAGGTGATAAATTTACCTGCACCTGTGGACATTGGATTTTGAACAGGATATACAACTTTGATCAATTTCTAACAAATTTATTCATCAGCTGCAAATATGGGACACGGCAGGACAAGAACGTTTCCGATCAATTACCCAAAGCTACTATAGATCAGCACATGCCTTAATTTTGGTTTACGATATTTCTTGTCAGCCTACGTTTGATTGTTTGCCAGATTGGCTGAGGGAAATTGAAGAGTACGCCAGCAGTAAAGTTTTGAGGGTTTTAGTTGGGAATAAAATTGATAGGGACGACCGAGAAATACCTATACAAGTTGGCGAGGAATTTGCTGAAAGGCATAACATGTATTTTTTAGAGACTTCTGCTAAGGAATCGGATAATGTCGAGAGATTATTTATGCAGATTGCTGAAGATTTAATGAAGGTAAGGAACAGTAGTTGAAGTTTTGATATTATGACTATTTGTTTATTTTCTGTTATTTATTTATTCGCCGTCTTTATTATACTTTTAATTGTTAGTTAGGGATACTTTACTGTTTAAATAAAATTTAAATAACAAAAATTACTATCACTAATGAACAAACAAAACAATCCCTACTCACTACCACATTACATACACCATCGGATTAAGTTGAGAAATCAACTTGAAAGACTGGCAATAACGACTAGAGACCCTAATATTAAACTGGAAGAAGTATAAGAACAAAAAGTGGAGTAACCTATTTGCTGACTTGTCATCTAAGGATAATTCTATCTGGACAATAAATCGTTCTCTTTTAACTAAAAAAAATAGGAGAAATTCCACCATTTTTACCCAATTACAGAAGAAACACCACTATCCAGATTTATATAGCAAAAATAATGTATAGCAACGAACAGCGCCCTCAAATATTGTATCTAAATATACAAAGTCTTCTTGCACATAAAGTAGAGCTAAATTGGTTGATCAATCAATGGAAACCGGTAATTGTATGCTTATCTGAAAGTCATGTAACAAAAGATATACAAGAAAATGAAAAACTTATAGAAGGATACAGATACTTCAGTGCATATTCTAAAAGTAGGCATACAGGCGGCAGTATCATTTATATAAAATAGGAAATAAAAACAAAACAAATACTCAGCATTGTTATTGATTCAAATATGTGGGTAATAGGAATAGAGGCAGTAATAGATACTTTCAAATACAATGTTTTATGTGTATATCATTCGCCTAATGCTAGTCACGCAACATTTCTAGAAAATATGGATGAAATTCTACAAAACATGCTGTCCAAGGAAGGGAATTTCATCCTTATTGGAGACTTCAATATAAATATGGCAATTGATACATGTTATTCAAAAGGATTGGAAAACATGATAACAACCTTGGGAGCTTACCAACATGTCAATAAATTCACAAGAGTCACAAGACAAGGGCGAACAGTGATCGATTTGATAGTCAGTGATACAAGAAACACCACTTATGATATTCATTTAACACCCAAGATAACAGACCATGCTATTTTGACCTACTAAAAAAACCAAAACTCAAACTGCACAAAAAGATGATAAGAGATTTCTCAACATTTAATGAAACAGAGTACCAACTGGAACTAATAAACAAAAATTGGGATAACAACTATATAGATATTAACATAGCTTCAGAGAGATTGGTATTGAATATGAGAGAGACATTGAATGCACACGCACCATTAAAAGAAATAACAATATCTGAATCATGGGGAAACAAAAAATGGTGGACAATGGAAATTAAAGAACGAGACAGACAATATAGGAAAGCGATAATAACGCAGAATGAAGAGGACTGGAGAAATTTTAGACAAAAAAAAAACCAAGTAGTTGCATTAATAAAAAAAAAAAAACAACAATATTATTTTGAGAGAATAGATGAAGTGAAAAACGATTCAAAAGAAATGTGGAAGACCTTTAAAGAAATAACATGCCAAAAAACAGGATCCCAAAGTAATAATGGAATTATTTTTGATGAAAAACTGGAAACAAATAATAATTTGATAGTAGAAAAATTCAATGCCTTCTTTATTGAAAGCATTGCTTTATTAACCAAAAATTTAAATTGTAATAATACTACTTACAAAGAAGTTGCTTCTGCTATACAACAAGCAGATAGTTATTTAGGAACATTTAAAAAAGTGGAGTTTATAGAACTAAAGAAAATTGTAAAGGGCATGAAAAATACCAATAGAAAAAAAAAAGAATTTCAAGTAATGTCAGGACTATCGTCCAATAAACATGGTTCCCACCTATGAAAAACTCCTGGAACTTGTTATCAATAGCCAACTTGTAAATTATGTCGAAAACAATAAAATTTTGACATGAGGCAGGTTTCAGAATAAATAATTCGTGTGAGAGTGTATTACAGACAGTGCTAGCAAAATGGAAGGATTCATTGAAGGACAATTTGGTGATAGGGGCATTATTTCTCGACTTCCGAAGAGCATTTGAGACAATTGATAGACAGCTGTTAATCATCAAACTGGAAAAGTACGGCATTCAAAATAAAGCGCTTCAGTGTTATTTGTTTGGAAGAAGTCAAAAAACCAGACTTGGCGAGAGTGAGTCTTCTTTGAGAGATACCTTCTGCGGTGTGCCTCAGGGAACAGTGATGGGACCAAATTTATTTGTGATGTATATAAATGATATTTTAAACTGTATAAAGGACTGTCAGATACAACTATTTGCAGATGACACGTTGTTATATTGTGCTGGTAACAATATAAACACTGTGGTGAACACCCTAAAAAATTTCCTAAACTCTGGAAGCAGAGCTTCACCATACCCATTCATAAATCTGGCGATAAAATGGATATTTCAAAATACAGACCCATTATCATCCAAAACACCTTCCCAAAGGTATTTGAGAGCATAGTGACAAAGTTTTTAACTCCAAAAATCAATCCCTGTCTAATTGAGCAGCAGACCGGTTTCCGTCCAAAATGCTCAACTGAAACCAATCTCCTGTCCTACCAGGACAAAGTTTCAAGAATTCTTGAGGATGGCGAATCAGTTCACTCCATATATACCGATTTTGCAAAGGCCTTTGACCGTGTCAACCATGCCGTTCTGCTTGCTAAGCTTGAAAGTGCTGGAATCTCCGGTACTTTGTTGAAGTGGATTAGCGACTATCTTGGGGAGAGAACTCAAATAATCAAAGTTAACAACTTCTTCTCACACGAAATTGACATCCCATCGGGCGTTCCACAGGGTTCTTACTTGGGACCTCTGCTGTTCAACGTTTTTATTAACGATATCAAGTCTTGTTTTATTAACAGTGAGTTCCTGTGCTTTGCGGATGATTTAAAGGTGTTCACCCGGGTCTCTTCTATTGAAGACTGTGCCAGACTACAATCTGACCTCGACAGACTCTCTGAGTGGTGCGCTTTGAGCGGCATGGAGCTCAATGCTTCCAAATGCAAAGCCATTGTTTTCTCCAAGGGTCGTAGCCCTCCACAATTCGCGTACCATATAAACAACATTCCGCTTGAAATTGTCTCACAACAACGAGATCTTGGTGTCATTTTTGACAGCAGTCTCAATTTTATCACCCATATTTCAGACATCACAACAAGGTCGTTAAAACTTGTAGGCTTCATTAAGAGGTGTTCGAGAGATTTTACAAGCATAGATTCTATCAGATACCTTTATTGCTCAATGGTGAGGCCCCTGATGGAGTACTGCTCCTCTGTCTGGTCACCAATGTATTCTAATCATATCAGAGCCCTAGAGCTAGTGCAGCGCAAATTCGTACGTTATTTAGCCTTCAAGGCAGGTATTCCTTCGCTTGAGAACTATGTATATGACTATGACGACCTATACAGACGCTTCAATCTACAACCCTTGGCAGCTAGACGCAATCAAAGAGATTTATATACTTTTTACAAGGTACTGAACTCCATTAGTGATTCCGCATACCTACTGTCCAGAATAGGGCTTCACGTCCCAGCAAGGGACACCCGCTCTGCCATAACCTTCTCAGAAAGAAATCACCGTACAAACTATGGTTTCAATACATTCATCTCCAGAACTTCTCGATTATGTAACACCCATGGTAGCCTGGATTTTTTTGGACCCATAAATAGCTTTAAAAGAGAGCTTAACTCTCTAATGTAATTCTCCTCGTTTGTTTGTGATGCCAAGTTCGATAGCTAAGAATTTCTAGTCATCTTGATCAGTCATTATTTATGTTTGTCCTCTATTTTCTTATACCTATAACTGATTTAATGTTTTACTGTTAATAATTTATATGTATTTTTATCCTGTTACTACGCCAAGTATTACTGGCCTATGTTTATTTAGTTGTAAGGTACTTAATGTTTCTTGTTGTTTTTTTTTCTTTTGAAACTTTTAATGGGTCTTGCCCGTAAATAAATAAATAAATAAAGAAATGGAGAACTTATGGTTATATGGTTAAATAAGAACAATCTAAGCCTTAATATTGAAAAGACCAAATTCATGTTGATTAGAACTAGGACGAAGACAATAGATGTGACACAACATCCAGGCATGACAGTAAATGGGATTGAAATTGAACGAGTAAAGGAGTTTAAATATCTTGGTGTTATTATAGATGAACATTTTCGAAACACTCATCCTATATAACTAGCAAAATTGCTAGTAGGGTAAACGCCTTGGGCAGAATGAGAAAAACTATTGTTTCTGTACTTAACTTCACACAATGCATTCTCTGTTCTTGAGTTCTCCCTGAAAGCAAATTGATTTTTGTGCAACAAATTATTTTTTCTTAAGAAAAAACAATACTTAGTTTATTCCTGAAGCATTTTTCAATGATCTTGCTAACAGTACTCATTAATGTAATTGGCCTATAGTTATTCATTGATTTTCTGTCACCTTGCTTATGCAAAGGAATAATTATTGCAGTTTTCAAAATCTCAGGGAAAACTCACTTTCACCTAACAAAATTTGTACACCGATTAATAGTACTAACTGAGATATTTTCATGTATTAACAGATATTTCTATGTACCCAATAACAAGTTATTGCCAACTATTTCCATGTATTAACGAAATGTTTCCACATATTGTCAGGTATTTCCCTAGCATTATCACATATTACTAAGTATTGCCATGCTATTGACAGACTAAAATCAAATATTTGTCTTGCCAGAATTCTAGATATTGACATATCCACAGGTATTTACATGTTATTAATGGGTATCAACCAATGATATTAACTAGATATCTATAAATATTGACATATATTACCTACATAATTAACAAGTAGGTATTGCATAATATTGACACTATTGACATAGTATTTACCTGGTATTGACATATGTGATTTGTACTACGATTAACAAGGTGAAAAACCCCTCACTCCTGACATAAAAAACACAATGATAATGTGCATCAGTGGAATTACCAAATTGTCCTTGTACTCTTTAAATATCTTCGAACAAATGCCATCCTCCTCCCCTTAAACCCCATTTTTTAAACTTTGCATTTGACTCACTAATACTTAGAATCCTGTCGATATGTATGTAGAATTTTACATGACACCAGGGACTCCGTGTAGAGCTAATAACTTATTCCTCTACATTAGCTGAATGACAAATATAATAATAGATAAGAAAAGAAAGGTACAATAGCTCGTTTACATTACCCTGGTCCCTTTTTTTCTTACTTTAGTGATGATTCATCAATTAGGTATAATAATATTGAAATTAACATATCCTTTCATCTTACTCGCTGAAATGCACAAAACACCAATTTCAGATTGTTTCAAAAATTTCATGGACTTTTAAGAATGATCATTATTCGAGTGGCAAAAAATGCAAAACAATTATCTTTTTTTTTATATAGACTAGGTACCCACTGTACACTTATGCATCAGATAATTATGTACTGGTTTTACTATGTAGATATATAATTTTTTAATCGATCCACACTGATCGAATATACAGCCAGCTCAACGACGTCAAATGGACGTTTCATGGACGTATAAATACATGACACACTGGCAACAGTGATCCTTATCCCAAAACCGGATAAAGATCATAATTTTCCACAAAATTACCGTCCAATTAATCTTCTGTGTTCAGACTATGACATAATCTTAATTACCGAGACATTTTAGAATCCTGATATACATGATAATGAACTTGATATACAAGGATACAAAATTTACCGCACAGATAGAAGTAGTGATACACACAAAGCTACAGTTAAAGGTGGATCATTAATAGCTATTAAAAAGTCTGATTTGTCAGCAAAAATTGAATCAAATATGATGAATATCTAACGAAGAACTGACCTTTTCTCAAAGCCAAATAAAGCTATCATTAAAAACTTATTTGACGATAACTGTAACCCTGACAGCACTCGCCTACGAAGTTTAAAAGCTCCTATTCTCTTGTAGTTGAATGAAATCCCCTTCCTTCCTTTTCCCACTCTTCTCCCATTCCCTAAATAAAAATTACAGCAGTGACTAGATTCACCAGACATAGCATAAGAGTGCAATCGCACTAAACACAATACAGCAAGGATACTTTATATTGACTACATTTATTTCACTTGTTCTATCCGGATACTAAGTGGATTGGATTAATAATGGGGATTAATAATCCTGAAATAAACACCCAGGATTAGAGATTTTATCCGGATCAGATACTTAATCCAATGCTCCAAATTTGTAGGATTGGACTTAAAATGGATTATCTCAAATGTGAAATAAACACCTTTATTATTTATTTTGTCGTGAATATACTCTATTCCTTCATTATAATTGTATTTCATTTCAGCAAGCAAGAATGACGAATGTACCAAGGTATGATCCAAATAGTTACAATGTCGATTCTTCGAGTCAAGAATCAAGCTGTTGCAGTAGGTTAACTTAGTTAATAATTATTGTGCATGTATGTTCTGTTCTCAGGTACATAATAATTTTTGTGGCAATTATTCTTGCCAAATTTGTCTGAAAGGATTTTTATCTACTTTGATGGCAGCTTTTTTGTGATTCACTTATGAATTAAGTCATTCCAAATAACTTTTTCTTTTGTCAATGTGATAAGTTTCAATTATTATTGATGTAATTGTATAAGCTAAATTTCTTCCATTTTTTATTTGAGGTTTCTTTTTTAATCAAATTTTAAAAGGCCTTTGTACTTAATTTTAAACCTGCTTATTTTATTGTTATGTTTAAGTATAAATATTTATTTTTAGTGGTGTAGGTGTTGTTTAGCTTTAAGGTTTTTTGTCATTTATACATATAATATATTAAACCAAAGAATTTTTTTTGACATAATACTCCATAATAAATGAATAATTAAAATTACCAATAAGTCTTTCATTTATTATGTATTTGAGTTTAAATATGAAGAAATGGAACACTGATTTAAATTCTGAGATTGAAAACTAAATAAAAACAGTCATATAAAAGTGCAATTTCCTATTAAAAATGATGTGACAAAACTCAATCTTCAATTATTTACTGCTGCTGAATTTTTCAAAAAATATAATCACCAGTTTAATAAGCTATTAGCTCTGCTTTTGCTAATTTTGATGATATAAAATTCAATTGGTTTATCTTTAACAGCTTTAGAAAACTGTGATAGGTAAACCTATAGAACTTTATATCATTGAAATCTGCATCCATTTGGTTTATAATCTAAAAACTATCACTTCTAGAGAAAAACTATCGGTTGCATTCATATAGCTGCGTCAAAAATATCATAATTATTTGACATATTTCCGGCAGAAAGTGGTTTTTGAGGGCTACGAAAACATAAAAACATTTTTCAATATTTGAATATATTATTTTTGGATATATTTACACCATTCTTAGATAAGGAAAGAAAAGAAACTTCCTATAATAAACATCAAGCATTTTCTATTCTTATCTAAAACAGCATTATTGCGTTATATTATTATTGATATATTTTTTTTGAAGACATATCACAGATTTTAACACATCATAATATAATAAGTAGGTAAATTATAAAAATAAATATTAATGCCCTAACATGAGAAAAAATCAACAACAAAGTAACAATTTAATTAAAATGTGTAAGCATTCAAGTGAAATAATTTATCCTCCCTCTTTTTGATCCAGTTTAATAATTTGCTAACACAATTAATTGCGCTAGCAGTGTCAATTAGTGGCTCGAAAACTGCATACAATTCAAAACCTTTAGTGTCCCAAGAAAACACCGCTTCATCTGAAGATCTTTCAAAGCTCAACTTCAAAGGTCTGGTAGGACAGTGCATTTTTTGATGCGCCCTTTTATAAAGTTCTATAAGTCTCACCTTATTTTTGGTATAAGGAGGGCATAAGGCCGGTTGATAAAATTGAACCGTGGACTTACATTTGTATAAATAATGCCTTAATTCTGGAAAACCTGTTGCCAAAGCGCTTTCTTCTAAAGCCGCTAAAGATGTATTAATGTGTTCCAAGTTGTTTCCCATCCTCAATTTTTCAACAATTTTTTGTTTGGCTTCGCTTAGAGGGAAAAATACATCTTTTTCAACAGTCAAAAGTAAGAGGCACGCTTGACAATCGTCCGCTAAATAAGATACATGCGCATATAAGTAGCCACTATTGTCAAATCTTGGCAAACATAATGGGGTCCAACTTTCCGAGTATTTTAAACTTTCAGTGGCTTGGACAAGGTTGAAAATCAAATGTAAATCGGCCGGGTGCAAGTGATATTTTTTCATTTGTACTAAACTAATAAGGCGATTGTTGCCCAAAAGAATTGCAAAGACCAAATTCTAAAATAAATTGTGTTAAATCCAAAGTTTGACAAAAAAAAAACAAAATCTTACCCTTATTTTGCTACAAGCATCTTTGATGATTTTACTAATAGAATCTCTTTCGGATATTGCCAAAGGCAGACATTGTATTGCTCCTAAAGTAAATGCAGGTTCGTTTTCAGAAAAATCAAGCAAATGATCAATTAATCTATCTACACCAGTGAGTAATCTTCTTAAATCATAATTAGCCTTTTCATCATAGATTTTGGTAAGTCTTTTTAAGGTAAGCATGCTGACAATTTGATTAAATACATAACTAAAAAAAAATAATTTTAAGCCATAAATATACTTAATACTTATGAAGAAGAAGGGGGAGGGTTGGATATACATACGTACACCAAAGAGTTGAAAAAATAAGTCAAAAGTAGTGTAGTTCAGTCATCCAAGGCTCAGAAAATTCCTATCATACTTACTTTAATTGTAAAGTAAGTTGATTTACACATTCTCCTGTTTTTGATACAGCCACTAAAATGAGAGGCTTTTTTGATAAAAACACATAAGTAGTATCACCAGCATGGATGCTTTTTATGCTATCACGACTGTATCTGAATAGGCCTAACATTACTCCAAATAACCAGGCTAGTTTGTCTTCGTTACCATACCTAAATAAAAATATTAATGTGAGCACATTTTTGATATAGAATCCTTGGGGTTCTTACCTAGAATATATGGGTTTACCAGCAGTACTAATTACAAAAATATGCTTCCTTTTATTAGTCCAATCCAAAGAGTTTTCTACATCTTCTTGTTTCTCATTAATTTCAGATCCATTTTCTTGGTTGTGTGTTATATCTTCTTGAGTATTGGTAGTTGTATCATCTTCTATTTCTGCTGCTGTAGAAATTGCATTAACGCTCATAATTTCTTCTAAGCTGGAGCTCATTTGTTCGAAATTCTCAAAAGATTCTGAGGCCACCAGGACATTGTCCCTGGCAGCCCCTGGTTCCACATCAAAATCTGCCATACTGGTCACTGGATTTAGTTTGAGGTTTAATGATTATTTTATAGACTGAATATCATTGTTTTATTTATTTTTTTAATTAAATCAAAAAAATAATTCTAACCTCTTCAATTTGACAAAACTGAATTTCTCTTCTTTTTTTCTATTTTGGGCTGGTGAAAATTTTTGTCCGCCATTTTCATCCTTAGAACTGAACTGAGTGACCGGTTGTTTGCTATATCGTATCGAAGGTGTGCGATGTGTCGCCTTTACAAGCTGGGTTCGGCCATTCAGCACGGAGCGGAGTAGGAGTGAGAACAGATTTTTGTCACGTGATCTGAGAGTGATTAGAGTGAAAAATTAATACACGAACGACCTGAACGGTCGGACCAAAAATGTCAAACAGTTGATTTGTTTTATTTCAAAAGTGCTGCTAATAGTTGTGTTTGAAACACTCGAGCTACTCGCTCCGGTGTTTAGTAGCCCCCGATTTGCAGGGAACAGATGCGTGGTGCAACAAAAACTTTTCGAAAGGAATAAGCGCGTGAAGCCCCGGAGCTGTTCCGGAGCTCCTACTAGGTGTGAAAGGAATACAACTTATGTCGAACAGTTCAAGAGCGTCACACTCCAGGAACATGATACTCTAACAATTTAGGCACTGGAAAGCAACTCTACTTTCATGACGTCAAAGTTGCCTAGCAACCGTCATCATTGCCTGTACACAGTTTCCCGTACTGTACGCGATAAATAGGTCGCGGGTGACGTCATGGAAGTAGAATTCTACTTGTCGTGATCCCAGTCCTCTGGTGAAGTTTGGAAGTTTGAGTAGACGACAGAATTCGTATGGGAAAAATAAGCGTGTACCGCATCTAATTTATAGCGTATTTCATTGGTAGAGCAAGTGCAACACTCGTTGCTAGAGCTACTCACTCCGGTGTTAATCGCCCCGATTTGAAAGCAGCAGATGCGCTGGCTTTCGTGCATCATATTAGGTAGGGAAATGACTCTAGATCATAATTGTCAAAATTGTCAATAGATGGCACCACCAGTTGAGAGGTTTCTATTCTTATAAATGATGTATTTTGTTTATTAATGGGATTAGAAAAAATAGTGCATGCAATAAGAAAAAATCACGTGACGGAAAACGCCGTTTCATTGGCTAAAGTGCATTTTTCGGAAAGTGACGTCATTTTCCGAGCCCGCGTTTTGGGAGTTATTAGTTATTTATTCCCTTATGTTATGATGTATTTGATACATTTCACTGCTATCTATCCAAGTATTCAGTCTATCTATAAATTTTAGTATTTGTGGAACATTTTGGGTTTTAACCTCTAGCTATCGGGTAGGGGAAAGTGTTCCACAATGAGACATGTTCCTTAATGAAACATCCGAAATAACTTTTTGAACTGCCTGCCTATTCAGTTTAAAAAAAAATGACCGTCGAACATAACTAATTCTGCATGTACTCTTACAATTTTTATGAAATTTAGCAAAATTGAAGCTTATTTAGTTTAGTGACTACCATTAGCTCAACTCGGGGTATTTTTTTTTTTACAGTCGATATTTCAATTGGTGATTGAATAAAATTCGTTGGTTTTTTTATAAATTGGAAATTCCGGAATAGGCTCGTTCAGTGAAGTTTCATTAACCATGTTTTTTGATATTTTTATGGAGTATTACTCACATATAGCACACAAAAAAAAATCAGCTCAATTGAATAAATATTAAAAAAGTTATGCGGCTTTGAATATTAAAACATTATGCCTCAGAAATTCATCACTGAGAGATGGTATGACGTCATCTCTCGAGTCAAGACGGGCTAAAGGCCGTCACACGACCAACGTGAGAGATGCAGTGACGTCACCGCTTGTTTCAAAACTTTCAAATTTGGATCATTTTGATAATTTATTTAAATATGAACAAGGACTCAGAAAATTATGAAATTTTGCACAATTGCTAAACTCAATACGCTCTTTTAGAATATGTAATAAAAACAATATGCCGTACGAGCCTATTGTTGAGGCATATCTGGGCTGGGATTCTGTATAAACTAGGGATGTTTGAAAACAATCGAAATATTTTTGCAAACTTCTTAAAAAAATATGGGAAAAGTTCTACAATGAGACACTTGGGTTTTGTTCCATAATGAGACGATCTGACAACTGCTTTTTTCACCCCGTAACAGAAGATGTAAAAGTGGTCGAAGAAAAAAACATCATGCTAATACTTTCCAAGCATCAAACGACTGGGAAAACTAAGAGGCAACAGGCTCTAATACTTTTTGAAGTACTTAAATTCAACCTCATTAAATGTGCGTTCATATTTTTGATTTTTCGAATTAATATTTCAAGTTGCTCTACTGTTTCTTTAAAAGAATGGTTATTTTTCAAGTATACATGTTTTTTTTTTCAATATTTTTTGTAGTGCTTTTTGGTGTAAAGGATTTTGTCTCACTGTGGAACATACTTGTTCCACAATGAGACAAAAAACGCGTTTTGAAAAAATTGCCCTATACCTATACTTACATATTTTTTGAATCGATATAATTATAATCTAATTGCGTTAAATTATGAGAAATATACCAATCTATGAGCATGCAACATCGAAATTACAAATTTCAATCATAACTTCTGGCTATTTACCGAAACGCAATTTTTGTCTCATTGTGGGGGAATCCGCCAAAAACCATTGCAGCTGGTGGCGCTGACTTCATAAAGGGACCCTGCACAAGCAAACCTTATGGAATATGGCTTTCCGTCAAATTGGCTGAATTTTGAAATTGGGTAGATTTCGATATTCTAATTAAAAGTTAGGTATCATTGCGCAAAAATTATTCCATGCACAGTTTTTGAGTAAATATGGGCTTGAAAAATTGTATTAGAATAACCCATGTTAAAGTCTAGTCTAGGATCAGTACGTAGTTCATATCTCAGCTGAGATATATAGGTATATCTACACTGTACCTACATGGAATATGGAATTATTTTTTGCGCAATGAGATAACTTTTAATTAGAACATCGAAATCTACCCCAATTGCAAAGATTCAGCCAATTTGACAGAAAGCCATTTTCCATAAGGTTTATTGCGGGGTCTTTTCATGTGTAATTGGAATTGGAAAATTTTAAAATGCTCACCGCTGCGCTGCTAACTTTTATCAGACGCACACCATCATAAGGCACCTGTCAATTTATATGTTATATCCAATTGCCTACGAAAACATTATCCTATCTTATCGATACATATTTATATAAATGTGTGTTCAAGCCCTCCCAATCGCACAGATTAACTATTCTGTTCACGATACAAGGTGTCCTTTATCAATTTTTCATCGAAACGTTCAAATTTGTTAATTCGTAGTTAATTTTCGGGATCGTGACTTTTACCATGGCGGACTTATCAACTGGTCAAGGATACGAACAAGATTCTCCTTACGAGGCTTCTTGGCATATTATTCCACCTGATTATGTTCATATGGAAGATGAATATCGATACTCGTAAGTTTATACCTACCTGTTAATAAGTACTATTGTATTCCTTATTGCTTGAATTGGCCGAAACTGACACCAGCGTTGGCGCTATTTTGTCTATAGTAGTTTTACAATAACATAAAAGGAGGTATCACTTTTCGCGTACAGGTGTTTACAACCCAGCTGCCCACTTTAATCAACATTTTCTCACCTCTAAAATACCCCGAGAAAATATCTACCAAATAGAGTCAGGTAGAATAATATAATTATGAACTTTTATACAACCCCATAAAACATAAAATTAAGGGCTTTCGGCACGTTTGTCGATTTGACAATGGAATAAACCAACTTGTAAACTTATAATAATAATATTAGCCTGCTTGAAGTTTATAAATTAAATTATTTTTTTTTCTGTAATTTATTCAAGCTTTTTACAAGGTTGATACTCATCATTGTCAGAATCGGAAGTGACCAAAAGTTTCGTAAAAAGGACCCGACAAAAGATCAAAAGACTCATTCAGAGACATTGGAAATATAGGTTCAAAAGCTAACAAAGTCTCAAACTATTGCAAAGCGGCAATAAGTTACATCCAGGTAGAACAGGAAGTGGCTTATGTGATTTGTGTTAAATTAATATGATTTATTTTTGTGCAATAATTGTTGATAGCTGAATGTTTTACAATGATACCATTTACATCAGGAGACAATAGATTCAAATTAAATAATATTGTTCACTTCAATAATTACGTTTACTCATTTATTTGTTTTCATGATCCATCATATTGCTATATTATGCGAGATCAATGTACCTGAAATACCAATTTTGTAAAACATAATTACTACTGAAGAAAACTACGTAGGTATTGTACCAATAGATATAAGGTACCGATTAATGATAATACTGATATCAAAACAAAAGATCTAAAATGTCTACGACCTTCCACTAATCTATAATGGAAATTAATTTCATCTCTTGCTTACATTTTGCAAATATCTAATTAATTAAAAAATGATTCAGGGATTGCGTAAGGTAAAAAGTGTATCTAAGCTTAGTGAAATTTGTTCATGGGAAAATTATACCTACCTATCAGATCAGGTCAGATAAACACAATTACTCTGTTATCCAATTGCAGCTTAGAGATTTTATATGTAAGGAAATGTATACAATACTAAATAAAAAATTTATAGTTTTACTAATAGGTAGGTGCCTATCCTATATTTCAATACAAATATTTCTAATTTCTTAAGTTTTCTGGTCAATGGTCAGTCAGGTATTTATTTACCATCTAGTCCGAAACCATTTCGGAAAAAAAAAATTATTGTGCTCACGCTCACGCCACGCCAGACTGTATGTCGCCAAAGAGGAACTTTAATGAATGAAAAGAAGGACCACACCCGTCGCGTCGTAGTAGTAAATCTTCTGTATAAGGGTAGGTACTATTCATGACCCAAAATTACTTGTAAATGGATTAGCGTCGATGCGAAAACGGTTTTAGGATGGCAATAATTACTCCAAAAAAATATTTCACTCAGAAATTTAGTGGTTAATCAACCAACACAAAGAAAATCTTGTTATTGCCCGCTCGTAACAATTTTATATAGGTACTTAACTAAAGATTTAAATACACAAGGATCAAAATGGGATTATTATTATGTAAGTATAAAGGATAAAAATATTATAACACGTTTATATTTACTTCCGGTCAGTCTTTAGAATGTTACAGGACCCACCGCATACCAAAATATTATCCTTTTCTTTGACACCTTTCCGACACTTAAACTTTTAGAGTTCTTATGACGTAGAAATGTAGGTAGGTACCTACTTAGTTTGAGAGAACCATCGGGCAATTTGAGTTGAAAGACTGTTTGAGGATTCATTTAGCGCGTAAAAAGGCTTGAGGGATTTCAAGGCTAATTCAAATCTGAATGATATTGCCCTCTAAGTTGACCATTACTTACTACAATAATTATACGAACTGTAAAGCAGTAGTTTTTTCATAAAAAAAATATATGATTGTTATTAATTGGTCTAGATTCATGTAGAATCTTCTATAGGAGACTAGGTATATACAATACCTAGGAAGGTACCTAATATATATGGTGCTAATGTACCTAAGTACTTAAATAATAATATTCACTTAAAACCAAGGGATAAGCCACCCCTCCCGAATTCGTGCAAATAATTTCTCAAACTACCCGCAAATTCCTTCAAATTCCCTGCAAATTCCTCCAAACTGCTCGGAAATTCCCTGCAAATGCCTGTTACAACAAATTCCATAAAAATCCCCAAAATTGTTCGTCATAAGAAATGTATTTTTCTATCTTTATTACGCTCAGTGTAACAACCAATAAATAACCCCAATTTCTCATACATTCCTCCAATTTCCCATAAATTTCTCCAAATTCCCCACAAATTTCTCTAAAATCCTCACAGTTTTGGCAAGGTATTCCTAGGTGGTTTGCTCTTTAAAGGTGAACGATCAGAAGTCAGAAGGAATTTTCAAAATGACATTAGCTCTGTTCCAACAGACATGAGAACTAGAACGATTATTTCCAGTCGATCAATTCATTTGTCAATTAGGATAAACGTTCAACTTATTGAAAAATAGGTGGGCCACTGGAAATTACTGGTTTTGGAACGGTTCTCATGTCTGTTGAAACTGAAACAGAGCTATTAAATCACGCATTTTACCTCACATCTTTGTTAATTTCAATCCGATTTTAACGTAACTAAGCTTGACATAAAGTTAATTAAATCCTTTACAAATCTCCATTGGGTATTTTCAATATTCAAATAACATTGAACCACATTTTACCTCACATTTTGGTTAATTTCAATCCGATCTCAACATAATTAGGCTTAAAATGAATGAATATTGGTATGGGTAGATGGCTGCGGAACTCGCTGCGCTCGTCCCGCAGAGGTCCATCCATAAATTCCGCAACAATCCACTTATTTGTACTTGAACAATAACTTATTATATGAAGTCAAAATTTGTAACATTATGATTATTCACTTTTTGTCAATTTGTCTATTAACAGGAATTAGTATTGTCACTTTACCAAACTAGTAATATAATGTCACAAGTTATTCAAGTACAAATAAGTAGATTGTTGCGGAACTTATGGGTGGACCTCGCGAGTTCCGCAGCCATCTATTCATCAATATGTTGTTTAATTACGATACTAATCTGACTCACTCAAATGTGAGTTTTTCTCATTAGTTTGAAAACTACACGTTTCAGGTGAATATCTTACTTGAACAGTTCAACAGTATATTGGTAAGTAGATGGCTGCGGAACTCCCATAAGTTCTACAATAATCCACTAATTTGTACTTGAACAATAACTTATTATATAGTCAAAATTTGTAAGATTATCCACTTTTTGTTAATTTGCCTCTCAACCGGAATTAGTAATGTTACTTTACCAAACTATAGTAATATAATGTGACAAGTTATTCAAGTATAAATGAGTGGATTGTTGCGGAACTTATGGGTGGACCTCTGCGGGACGAGCGCAGCGAGTTCCGCAGCCATCTATTCAGCAATATGTTGTTTAATTACGATACTAATCTGACTCACTCAAATGTGAGTTTTTCTCATTAGTTTGAAAACTACACGTTTCAGGTGAATATCTTACTTGAACAGTTCAACAGTATATTGGTAAGTAGATGGCTGCGGAACTCCCATAAGTTCTACAATAATCCACTTATTTGTACTTGAACAATAACTTATTATACTTATAGTCAAAATTTGTAAGATTATCCACTTTTTGTTAATTTGCCTCTCAACCGGAATTAGTAATGTTACTTTACCAAACTAGTAATATAATGTGACAAGTTATTCAAGTACAAACGAGTGGATTGTTGCGGAACTTTTGGGTGGACCCATCCATCTATTCACCAATATGTTGTTCAAGTACAAAACTTACCTGATTCACTCAGTTGTGAATTTTTCTCATTAGTTCAAAAACTACACGTTTCAGGTGAGTGTCTTATTTAAACAGTTCAACAGTATATTGGTGAGTAGATGGCTGCGGAACTCGCTGCGCTCGTCCCGCAGAGGTCCACCCATAAGTTTCTGCAATAATCCACTTATTTGTGAATGCTTCCATCAGCTTTTTTCACTGAACAAGGAGTATGGAATAAACCCACCCTCCCCGAATTTTTGCAAACAATTCATCAAAACTGCTTGCAAATGTCTGGGTTACAAATTCCCTGAAAATATCCAAAATTGTTCATGATAATATTTTTATTACGCTCAGTATTTTTCCAGTTTCCCATAAATTTCTTCAAATTCTAGACAAATTCTTCTAAACTTCCTACAGTTTTAGCAAAGAATTCTTAAGTGGTTTATTAAATATTATTTTTAATGTATGCATTTCTCAAGTAGACATTCTTACCTACCTTCGTTAATACTTTGAAGTTCGGTCAAAATTCGGAATTCCCCAGCAATCAAACTTAATATTAAGTACCTTATTACCTATCTATTTTGTGCGGTAGCTATTGTTGCAAGTAGATTGAGTTATTAATGTTTTAAAGCCTTATCCGTGTTTGGGGCTTTGGGTTATAAAACTTTGTTTACTTATTTGTAAATAGATACCTACAGCGTAATTTGAATTTTTTTTACTGGTATCTCGCATCATTTTGCTTATGAAAGAGATGCTATGTTAGTTAAAATTAGGAAACTTTTGGAAAAGGAAAATTGTATGCTATAATTTAGGCCCAGTTGCATTATTGGTGGTAACTTGCACTGCGTTGTCAAACTCCATAGTTGCGGGTTGACTATACATTGAATATTCTGAAGCTTGACCAATAGTTTTGGCTAAACCACATAATATTATGAAACAGATATATTGTAGATTACCAGTGTCTTGTGGTTGCCACTTTTTGTAAAACAGGCCCTTAGTGTTAAAATTCAAAAAAAAAACAACTCAAAACTCACGCGTCTATTTCTACCTATTTTCAACTGAAAAATGTCTAATGCAACCCCAGAAAGGTGGGCAATGAAAGATATAGAAATGTTG